ATCTCACCAGCAAATGCCTTGTCAGACAGTCATACAGTATCATTTTTGACCATCTACATTTCCTCCTATCTTGTTCAAACTCAATCACAGAAGCTGTAGTAGCTATCACAGTTATATATATATATATATATATAGCCTCTTATGAAAAAATAATCAAGAGATGGGGAAATAATCAGAGAAGGGTGTTTGAAGGCTGTACTTTAAATTCTGATTAGCTAGGGTTTTTTTTTTTTCAACTCCTAAGAAAGCTTGTCAAATTCAGTGGAAAATAAATTTTCCATGACTGCAGCAAAGAGGAAAGGAAGTTAAGATATACACTAAGAAATCTATGAAGTAAAGATTTTTTTCTTTTAGTCTTACCGTGTGTTGTTCTTAGATTTGTAGTAGTAGTGCAGACAGTCAGTACAATGATCTGGTCCTGGCCCATCACACCCTACTTTACTGCATTCTGCATTGCAGGGACCTGTAATAAAACCAGAATACAGCGGGGGAGGGGATTAAAACTTCTCATTTAGTAGTTAGCACCCCTTAAAACATAGCATTTTAATGCAGAATGCAATTACTCTGTTTCCCTGTTTGATTTGAATTCCAAATAGTAATTTGGCTCAACCAAAAGGAAAAGTTTTTTTGTACCTGAAGACCTTGCAAATCCTGGCCTCAGAATTTATTCACAGCGATTTACAATTTTTAGCAAGTGTGGCATCCTCTATAGTATCTATCAATGAGAAACTATTTCTGGATCCAAACAGATGCTTTCCTAATGAGTAACAAATCATTCTGAATTTTATTCAGAAATGTGCAAAGGCTTCTGTAATTCAAAATAAGGAATTATTAGCAAAATCACTTACAACAAGCAGGTCAACATAAATGATGGACAACATGATCAGTGGGTACTCTGGTTACCAGCTGGGTAACAACTGGTCCAAGTAGCGTCCATAACGCAACTGAAGCAGCCACCAGGGCCCAGATGCGCTTCCCTGTGTGTTGCTACGTGCTGCAAAAGCCTCAGCTAATACTTGCTGATTAGCAAGTCTTCCATCTCACCTGCACTCATGTTGGACTCGATGATCCTTATGGGTGCCTTCCAACTCGAGATATTCTATGTTTACAGTTTTCAAATACGTCCTTCCTGCTACAGGAGGAGAGAACTATCAACTCCTGCCTTTATGTAGGTGAACAAAGCCCATGGGTGAAGTTACAACTTTCAGGATCACTGCTCTCTCGTGAATGAAATGTGTTGAGTTTGCCAGCCACCTTGAAATTTCTCCTAACATCAGGTAAATTTGAAGTAAAGTGAGTTTGCTTCATACAAAAACTTAAGAAGTTAGTGACCTTTACAGCAGAGTGTTTCATCACCTACCAAAACAAGGAGTTCAGCAGCTCTCAATCTAAAATATGGACTGTGGGTCTGACATGCTGTGGCACGAGACAGTAATAACAGAAACTTCTAAACTGAACTTTGCCCTGCTGTTTGCTTGCCAGGGCTATACTTAAGATTCATCAGCCCTAACCACCTACACGATGCTCCTAATGGATTACATGTAGGAAACTGCCAACTTGACTTATTTTGCAGTACCAAAAATCTCTCCCTATTGAAGTCTAATGAAAAGATTGAAAAACTTCTATAGGGATCACTGAGAAACAACACAGATGTAGAAGATAATGTTCCACATATATATATGTGTGCATATGTATGTACATATATTTTTATATACTTATATGAAAAGCAGTGCATTCTTCATAGAATGTTAAGTGTAGCTTAAAAATATATAACTCCATGCTTACAAACTCATAAGGATGAAATTAAAATATCTAACTTTAAATTATGAAACAAATAGTTCTGTTCTTAAATTAAGAATCCACTTCACTGAACTTTTTACATATGTAGAGTTTCAGGTCACTCCTTCAGTCTATTATGTGTTCAGTAAATCCACAATCAGAGTAAATGAATGTACGCACCTGAATAGTCATTTGTTCATGTAGGGTCTTCAACTGGACTAGAGCGCATTCTTTCCACTTTCGGAAAATCATTTCTTGGTGAGTAAGGCTGGATGGATGTCCCATACAGTACTAAGGACCACTCTTTCAATTTGCCTAGAAGTTAAGTATTTAAAATCTAGTTTTAGAAACCATTTCTATTTCCTGTGTCTTACAAAAACATCACTTGTAAACATG